AATCTGTGTGTTACGGGTCAGGTGCTTTGTAATTTAATAATATACTGTTGCATGAAAGGTGTTTTATAGACCTGAGAAACTACTAAATCTGGCAGCCAAATCTCTTGTTGTGAAAAGGATTTCATCTTAAAATAATAGGGATAGAAAGTCTTTGTTTCGATAGAGGGGCCATAGAAAAGCCTCTGTGTTTTTTTCCTCTTTCTCCCAAGACCTGCACTTTCATCTGAACTGCGTTTCTTTCTTTTGGAAGTGAACATGAAGGGCTTTTCTCACACCCTCTGAATTCCTTGGGAAATGCACTGGCAGACCTTGGCTGTGTGCACACTTCTGTTGTGCATGATTAGTATTTAGTGTTTTGCTCTGTGCTAATTCATGGGTGCAAGTGTTAAGTAAACTGCCTCTTGTCCAGCCCCATATGGAGTTATGCAATTTCCCATATCTGGTGAATGAGGGTCATTGTTCCCTCATTGGATCCCCTTAAAGGTAACCAAAAGCCGATTTCCATTTAAAACATTGTTGTGTCAACTTCATCACTGCTAAATATGGCTTGCCTGGGTGGGAACTGAAACCACGAGGAAATGAAAAGGGGATGGCTGAAAAAAGGTTTAGTTTTATATATGACCATACTTCTCACGTGCACTGCTGTTACTTAACGACTATAAATAACTAAGTGCAGCCATGGACCCACATGCATGGCACTGGTCTGCCCACCACAACCATACTATTAGGCACAAACTAATCTGCTATCTGTTTGATAAAAGTAATCAAGATCACTAAATGATGTCATGTTGCTATGATAATTACTTTTGGATTAACTGTCTGCAGGGTTAAAGATCATAACAGCTAATCAGGAGTGTGAAGTTCAGTCCGTCAGAGGGGATTGGCCTATGTGCCTGCTGAGTGATAAGGCCAGAGAGATACATGTGGTATAAATGGAGAGAAGACGGCTTTAAAATCCACAATGACTGTTTAAGGGTGGATTGAGCACAGCGAAGAGCGTACCCCTGAAGCCCTGATTTTGATTTCCACCATGGATCCAAGGTCCCATCACTCATGGATATTGTACTCTTTAAACGAGCCATGTTGGAGAACCACTGCTCCAGGCCTACTACTGCTAAAACTCTGATGTGCTGTGACGGATCAGCTATGTACCTTTGTGAATACTTCAGAGACTGCTGTAATAGAAGAGCTGTAGAGCAGAATTCAGAAGGTACAATTTATTGCAATCCTTCTTGCATCTTGACACAGGAAACACAAGCTGAACTCACAGGAATGCAAGACATAACTACCAGCAAGGTATTGTACTTTTGCAATTATATACAATAGCAGAAACTTGACCTTGACCATGGAGAACATAACAGTTGTTTGTAAAAGAAAATAGAAAGAGGCTTACTATACCAAAATGTTTGTATTCAAAACAAACACAGCTCAATTCTGTGGTTTATGCCTGCCATGTACAGTAGACGCTACATATTGTATTTAAATCCATTATATAAGTCTAAAACAACACATGAGGATTTTACTTAATTATCTAAAATGTTTTGGGCTCCGTCAACCCTGGGAAATTAGCCTGATCCTTCAGCTCTACATCATTAATAACATGCGTGATTAGTCACAGAAATACCCGACCATTTGGGGATGATACTAATCGTACAGACAATTTGTTCAGTAACTAGAACTCTATCAGAATCATAAAAACATTGCTTTGCTATGTGGAGTAGCCGTATGAGTCTAAATCTGTATGCAAATTAGATTATACATTTGCAGTTGCAAGCTGTCAATATAGTGGTGAATACGTAACAGATAAAAGTGTGCCAGAAGATCACTAGGCCTTCTTATCACAATATCTAAAACCTCTATCTACTCTATTGCAGCATACTCCCGTCCAAAGGGTTCAGGTCGTCCTTTGCCCTTTTTATCTACGCTATATTTTTAGTCCGAGGGCACACATTCATTTGTTCAGGTAATGTAGTCATCTGCAAGACAAGAGCCCTGGGAAATCTGCACATTTATCCTACTGGGTGCTCATGGAGGAAATACTTACACCTTATTCATGCTCGCCCTCATAGCTATTAATACTGTTTTGTTTATAGCCGAGCACAGACCAGGTGCCGCTCTGAAACGTCACCTCTGTTTGCTCCTGTGCCAGCCCAGCAGGCTGTTCTAGTTCTCTGATTCATCTGATCCCTTTGCTGCCCGTCTAGAGGATTTGATCATCATTAGACTCACTGTACACAACAGTTGTTAGGTCTATTGACTCATGGATAAGGGCCTTCTTCTATTTAACACTGTTACACAGTTATCAACCTGGTGCAAAACCATTTCCTTATAAAGCCAAATTATTTTTAAATTGTAAATTCATGCCAAATCTGTGGTTTCCCTGCACTCAAAGGAATGCGCCCTTAGGTAGGGGTGTGTGTGTGTGTGTGTGTGTGTGTGTGTGTGTGTGTGTGTGTGTGTGTGTGTGTGTGTGTGTGTGTGTGTGTGTGTGTGTGTGTGTGTGTGTGTGTGTGTGTGTGTGTGTGTGTGTGTGTGTGTGTGTGTGTGTGTGTGTGTGTGTGTGTGTGTGTGTGTGTGTGTGTGTGTGGTGTGTGTGTGTGTGTGTGTGTGTGGTGTGTGTGTGTGTGTGTGTGTGTGTGTGTGTGTGTGTGTGTGTGTGTGTGTGTGTGTGTGTGTGTGTGTGTGTGTGTGTGTGTGTGTGGTGTGTGTGTGTGTGTGTGTGTGTGTGTGTGTGTGTGTGTGTGTGTGTGTGTGTGTGTGTGTGTGTGATGTCAGACTGGTTTTTCTTGCCCTCTAGAGCTCCTCTCTATTGGCTGACAGACAGAGACTGGGAGCTGGTAGTTTCACATCAAGGACTAGACTCCCAGTCTGCCCTGTAGCCTCTTGTTGAACATGATAATAAGTTCCCGCTAACTATGATTGCAAACAAATGTGTCAACTCTCAAGATTATGGAGCAAATCTAAAATATTGATCAGCACGTATTTTGAGTTTTTCTTTGGTTTTGTGTTCATGTATTTGCTGTGAAAAAGGGCATACTGTGTAGATGACATTAATTATGAATGGAATTAACTGTTTTGAATTCATAAGTTGCACTTAATGTACCATAGAAACCACTTAGAGGTATATTTATGCATTTTTGTGGCATCACAGTTTTAAGTTATAGGTGGTCGAGGTAGAGCTAGTTTGAACTATGTAAAAAGTAAATTTACATAAGTAATGTCTAATAAATCACACATTTTCCATGTAAATCTCATTTTGAAAAGTTAGGTATAACTACAGCTGTCAAATAAATGTAATGGGGGGTAAAAGTATATAATTTCATTATTAGTTTTTATGAATAAAAGTGTCCAGAAGCACACAATGGAAATAATTAAGCCAAGTATAACTTCCTATAAATCTGTACTTATGCACATTAGCACGTTTACTTGTAATGTACTAATTTAATTCTAATAGTGAAAGCTGTTGAGGCATAGTAAACATGTTTATGAAGTGACGTAATATTATCTGTGATTGTTTTTAGTCTCTCGGTTAATCTATTACAGTAAATAAGAAAGTCCCTAACTGAGGATCTATTTCTGCTGTGTCTGTATGAGTGGCGGCTGCCTGCCGCGCAGTTTAGAGGGTGATGTCATCCCTCAGCTGTGAGTGGAGGCGGGGGAGGAGGGGGCGGGGCTTCCCTCTCTGCACAGTGCACTGAGTTTCAGGTGCGCTTCAGCTTTCACAACACGCCCGGCGAGCAATAGCGAAAGCAGCTCGGCGAAACTTTCGAGGAACCGGCGAGGATTAACTTTATCTGGATTTATGAAAGTAAATAACTCTCCTTCAGATTTGGGAAAATGCACTGGGAACAATTTCTCCGATTGACTAATGGAAAGGTGAGCCGCGTCTTGAGATCGCTTCTTCTCTAACTGAAGATAAGCTCATTAGTAGGCTACTTTAACTCATTTGCCAGAGAGAACACTTTATATGGAGTTTTAGTTTCCTCCCGGATGCGCTGTGGTTTGTGTTGTTGACTGTGTTGCCTGTCATCAATTAGTCATGCTTTTGGGTATGCAGGTGAGCCTCCGGTGCTGTTTTTACCTGATATGGAGCGCTAATAAATGGTAAGCCTATACAGAGGCTGGGTTATATGTGAGGGCTGGATGCCTTGGTGAATAACTGTCACCGTGCCCCCCTGATCTGACTCTCAGTCCTGTCTGGTTTTTTGTTTTTCTGGCAGCCTTCTGAATCCTCAAGGTGTGCACTGTCAGGTTCAGCTGATTATTTTGTGTGCTTGCTAAGTGATGGAAAGAACATTTTTGATCACACCCCTTCCTGAAGCATCATTAGCTCCAATAGTATCACAGTGTGTTCTTCCCGTGAGGAAATGAATGTGCTACCAGGTTCTTCCTCCTCTAAGGTAGAATTGATCTTGTTTTATGAAAAACAGGAAAAACACCATTTAGATTAGTAGTTATTTTTTCACAGAAATGCTTAGTGTCCTATTGATATAATCAGGTCAGTGTCTGAGGAAGATAGACAGAAACTTAATCTGTAAAACTGTTGAAAAAAAACAACTAATATCCTGTCAGTCTAGTCCTATATGGTTGCACCCAAAACAAAGAAAAATAGAGATTAGGCTGATACTCGTTTCATGTTGTTCTGGCCTGTGTATCCATTGACTTGCAAATGCCTGTGGATTCACACTGAGTTTTTTTATGATGTACTGGAAATTATAAAAACGAAATTTCTTTCACTATCATTTCTTTGTTAACATGTAAAAATAAAACTGACTGCGAGTTGCCTTTTTTAGGCGTCTCAATTTGCCCTCTTTCCCAGTGACTGGCCACAAGAAATGCAGAAGCCTCGTTTTCTGTGTGTGTCAGCTAAATGACTAAGAAAGAAAAATATGCAACTCACACTTTTTTCTTCCTTGTCTCCCCTTCTTGAATCCCTCCTTTCTTCCCCTGACCCTTTACCTACTCCAATCTCCCTCTCTTTTTTCTGTCTCCTCTCTCAGATCGATCGGCTGGAAGTGAGCGGACTGGGTCAAACACCCCTGTCTTATTCATTAGGGGCAGACGGTTCGATCCCAGGGTGTGAGGATTGCACCCCAGACCCTCAGCGCACAAAGCAGGCCATTGCCCATCTGCAGCAGAAAATCCTCAAGCTCACGGAGCAGATTAAGATCGAGCAGACAGCCAGAGATGACAACGTGGCAGAGTACCTCAAACTGGCCAACAATGCTGACAAACAGCAAACCACACGTATTAAGCAGGTAAAAAGAGGAGCTGTTGCATTCTATTAAACTATAAATATGTATATTTCATGAATAACTTCCTTGGAACTATTTGTTTTTATAATTGTATAATATGAGAATCAGTGCTTTCCCTCAAAACCTGTTTGTTCACTATCTATGTCCCTGGCAGTAGGGAGGGAATGTACTATATAAAAGCTTAGTGGGTTATTGGTTGAACATTTTTCTCCCTCTAACTAATCAAACCTGTCCTTTGTCTGTCAGGTTTTTGAGAAAAAGAACCAGAAGTCTGCGCAGACCATCCAGCAGCTGCAAAGGAAACTGGAGCACTACCACCGGAAGCTACGGGAAGTCGAGCACAACGGTATCCCCCGCCAGCCCAAGGATGTTCTGCGGGACATGCAGCAGGGCCTGAAAGACGTCGGGGCCAAAGTCACAGGCTTCAGTGAAGGTGTGGTGGACAGTGTGAAGGGGGGCCTCTCCAGCATCTCCCACGCCACCCACTCTGCAGCCGGGGCCGTTGTCTCCAAACCCCGGGAGATCGCGTCACTGATTCGCCACAAATTTGGCAGCACTGAAAACATCCCCTCACTTAAAGACTCTTTAGACGACCCCTCTGTAGAAGAAGCTGTGACAGGCGCTGGCGGACGTTCACTAGGCAACGCTGCGCATCAGCTCGAGCCCAGTCCTAAGTATGGCAGTGAGGACGACTGCTCTAGTGCTACTTCGGGCTCAGCGGGTGCCAACAGCACCACAGGGGCCCCCGGAGGTCCCCCGAGTTCCAAGGGCAACACACTAGAGAGGAGCCAGAGCTCCGGCCTGGACATGCTGCTGCAGGAGATGCAGGAGCTGAGGGAGGGCCAGACCAGGCTGGAGGAGAACCTTGATGGTCTGAAGAGCCACTATCAGAGGGACTACTCGGTTGTTATGCAAGCGCTGCAGGAGGAACGCTTCAGGTACAGATATAGAGATAACATATTAGAGTGTGTGTATTATGCAATCTTAAAGCACTTTCTGTTTTACACAGGAAATCCCCTTAAGTTCTAACAGTGTGTAATCAGGAAATATTTCCTTTCTTTTTGGAAATATGCACCTGAATACAATACTGACCATTGATCTCTGTTGACACATTCTCAGGGGCAACACTCGCCATGCACATGATCTGGAGAGATCTTTTATCGAAGCTATCACACTGTAGATAAAAACAAAACCTTGACCTGAACCTTCTTTACATCAACATATTAGTCCTGCATAAACGGCATGTACTCGGCCATAAAGAATAGGTCACATTCGTTATACAGATTTATAGTGGCAGTCTTTTTGTTTTCTATGTATCCCCCTTTAACAAGTGGCAATAGCATTTAGAATGAACTAAATATTAAAAGTTACTAGCTTTATGTTTGTTTAGTTGTTTTATAATAGCCATTGAACACTTCAAAGTGACAGACCCACCTGCTACAAGTGTCCCCTAGTTTCCTCTAAGTTAAAAGATCTTTGGTTATTTCAGCCTCTGTCCCAGCGGCGCATATCTTTCTTAGACTCAGACGTCTCTCTGCAGCCTTTGTTTTGTTTTGTCTTTGGGCAGTTGGCCGTAAAAAAACACACTCACATTCCTCCAGAGTGTCCTGACAAGAGGGCACAGAGATAAGGAGGGCAGGACAATGGGAAGGAGGGGAGGTATAGTGAGCAGCTTACATAGTAAAAGAAACATGAGCATTTTTCTCCCTAAAATGTCCATCTGAACCCAGAGCAGTCTGTGCTTGTCCTTTAAGACCAAAATAACAGAGAACAGGACAGAATGACCACTGGGAATTATGGGGGAAATCATTTATAACCCTCATGTTGCTTTATAACTCTTCAGGAAAGGAATCCACCCCTAAAAAGGGACTTTCCTAACTTGGGCTGCCAACTGATGATTATTTTTATTTTTCATGAATGTAGCTCTGAAACTATTTATAGATCAACATACAATCTAATAAACATTATCGTAATAAAGGTTCCAGTTTTTCCAGTTTTTCCAGTTTTTCCAATGTGTATACTTTTTTTTAATAATAATTGAAATTCTTTGAGACACCAGTTTGGAGAACATGCTTACCCCTTTCTCTATTTTCTATATTATAAAATCTGATCAAAGGAATCAAACATACACAGAGGCAGTTAAATGCCTTTTCTTGTGCTATGCTGTCTATCCACTTGTATGTGCCTCCAAGATAAACCAGTAGACCCTGCATCCTGCTAAGGGCCTCCTATTGGCCTCGTACAGCTGACTCTCTCTGATTGGCCAGTTGTATCAGCAGATGAGTAAGCATGGCCTAATCTTGTCAGAGGGAGTCATCAGTTCAGTTGGGTGCCATGTGGTCAGAGGCCTTCAGGCTGTGTTTCTACTAATTCCTGCATGTCTGTGTTTGTCCAAGCTAATTATGCCTCAGACCCTCACGTGTGTGTGTGTGTGTTTGTGTGTGTTCAGGTGTGAACGTCTGGAGGAGCAGCTGAACGACCTCACAGAACTTCACCAGAATGAGATCCTCAACCTCAAACAGGAGCTGGCCAGCATGGAGGAGAAGATCGCATACCAGTCCTACGAGAGAGCCAGAGACATACAGGTCCGTCTGTCAGCTAACGTGCACAAACACATAAGCAAACAAATGAACGGCTACAAAAGCAGTTTAGTCTGAATAACATGTTTTGGGGGATGATAACACATTTTAGTGTCATGTTGTGCACTTTACTTCTGAAGATATCAAGTAATCTTCTGATATTTTACTAAAGCAATAAGCCCCATCAACCGAGTTTGTTGAAATCTTTATTTCTTTTCTCCATTTGTGGTTTCAAAATACCCTTGTACAAATTATATTTTCAGAGTGATGCTTTTATTGTCAAGGGGCAGTTAAAGATGTTGATGAAGTGCCTGTCCGCAAGAGCAACAACAATCTTCAGAAAAAGAGTGACAAAAAAACCATTCCACATTGATTAAATGTTTGACTTTTAATGCTTTAAATAATGTGGACATGTTTTATTTCCACACCAAGAGCTTGTACAAATTGAAGTTCTCATAAGACGCTGAACTCTTTACCTACATTCTTTAAATAGTTAATTAATTTGGCCTGCTTAGAATCAATGTCGTGTTTAAGGTGGCCCAACACCCTCCAAACAGCTTAAGGCATTATCTCATTTTGTTGACACAGTAAACAGGAAGATGAGACAGAGAATCCAGTCTGTTTATTGAGAACACAAGGATATCCTTGTCATTGACTCACATTTCTGCCGTCCTTCATTGTTGTCTGACACAGCGAAGGTTTTTTGTTTATTCAATATGTGTATGTCTGCATGACGTGTGTTTACAGTTCAAGTTGCCTGTTGGCTGCATGTCTTTGTCCCAGAAACAGGGGGCAGTAGAGCTCTTTGCACAATTTACACTCAGTGGTAGAAACACCTGAGAACTCTAATGCGATCCAATTGAACAGCTCAGTCATACATTCGACCTTTAACTGCTTCTTATTGAGCTTTGCTGTGGTGTTGCACTGGATTGCATTATACTGAGAGTCATTTTGATGTTTTGCCAACAACCACATTTACAAACATGAAAAGGCGAGAATATGAATAGCTCATTTATTTTTCAAAGCGTCATTCACCACATGGGCTTACACACATTTACAAAACATAACAAATAGGAGCTAACATAATTAGAGCGAAACACCCAAATATAATAAACGTATAAGCATGTCAAAAAAAGTCAAACAAAGTACGAACAGAATTCCTCTCCTTAGACAACACATCTGAGACGTAAACTGTGCCTTCATCACATTAAACGCAAAGCACCATCCTATGCTGTTGGAAGGCAACACAAACTTTGCAATGAACCAGGTTCTGACCTCTGCATTAATCACTGTCAAGCTCTTCAGTATATTTGCAGTTTCCCCACTTGAAAGGGATGGTACAGTCCATAGGAGGTTTTAACTGGGTTTCACTCGTACAATGACCACAACTTTGTTTTCTTTTTAGTTCTTCTTTACTTTAGTTCTTGTTGTTGCAGTACAGCATATGTAGGTAGTAAGGTTGTAAGGTGAAAAACCTTAAATGAAAAATAAAAAATAATAAATGCAAAAATACATGCTTTACATATATCTTTTAACACTTGTGAATATTGTTCTTACTTTCTTAGTGTATTTTTATGAATTAGGTTTTTAAACAGTTTTTAACTCATGCAGTCTCATATGAAATGCAAATATAATAGACTGAATTTTTAGCAGCATTCAAACCGTTTTTATCAATCTACATATCTCAATAAACAAATCACATTCGTTTTTAAATCAACAATCATGTTGCTTTAGCTTGAGGACATCAAACAAACAAATGACAATGAACTCGAACGTACGTTCTAACGTGCCCCACGAACGGCAAGTTTTATGACTCTTAAATAAACAAACAGTTCGTCTCTCACCGGCCGCCTCTCCAGCTTTTTATGGCTGCACCAGTGCTGCTTCTTTGATGTTTCTTCTGCGCGACGTTGCTGCTGCTGGACGCACGCTTTTTAGTTTGTAATGGAGGATTCTTCTCCTTCTCCCTTCTCTTCTCCCTTTCACAAAAAAAACAAATCAGCACAGTCTGAATCTAAGATTTAGGAACACATTTCAACATGAAACAGCCCATCAGTCGGTAAAGTGATCGTTTGGTGTTTGCCATGTTGTGGGTCAAGTTCTTTTAAGTGGTTTGTTGATTGATTTTCTGTTATCCCTTCGTGTCCTCTGCAGGAGGCGTTGGAGGCGTGTCAGACCAGGATCTCTAAGATGGAGCTCCAGCAGCAGCAGCAGCAGGTCGTCCAGTTGGAGGGGCTGGAAAATGCCACAGCCCGGACCCTCTTGGGAAAACTTATCAATGTGCTGCTGGCCCTTATGGCTGTCCTTCTGGTCTTTGTCTCAACTGTGGCCAACTGCGTGGTCCCCCTGATGAAGACACGCTCGCGCTCGCTCTCCACCCTCCTCCTCATCCTCCTGCTGGCCTTTCTGTGGAGGAACTGGGAGGCTCTCTCGGGGTACACGCACCGCGCTCTGCAGCCCCCCGGATGACCAGGGGGGGGGGGGGGGGGCCAGCACATGTTGCTTTGTTGACACCAGGTGATGTAACTTTAGCTGCGATCAAGCAGGAAGTATGAAGAACGTGACTGCCGCTAGATTGGCTGCGTGGCCGAGCACTGAACATTCGGCCGGGCCCATTCGGACACGGAGTCGAGAAGAAGAGGAAGAAACGGAGTGAAGCCGAGAACACTCATGATTGTCCCTTAGGAAGGAAGAGACTGTTTACATTTTTGAAAATGAACTATTATGCTGCTGTCCCTCAGAATTCAGCATTGTACTGTTTTATCTTTAGAGTTTAATCAATTATAATGTTATTATTTCTAATAATATTATTTTAATTTCAACGTTATTTTATTCAGTACCATGTAGCATTACGCTCCTCTCACTACATGACGGGGAGCCTAGTCAGGAAACTGGGTTGGCGATTTGCTCCAAAGGCCTGGTCCAACTGTAGAGATGTGAAAATGTGGTTGATTGCCTTTAGGAAGAGAACTCTTACATAGCTGTGATTGGTAGATTTCAACCATGGCTATAAACCTTCCTGGGAGTTTCTCCTTTTCTTGCTGTGATAAAATGTGTTCGTACAGAACATTTTGAAGGACTGACCTTAACCCTTGAGTGTCATGATGACTTGAGACTTTTTGAGCTTCCTTATTACATTTCTAATGGCAAACATCAGATGCTTTTACTTACTTCATTTTAAAAGTAAAACGAGAAAGACGGTGTTACATAGGGAAGGTATAGACATAATGGGCCAACTTGCAATGGTATGCTGACCATAGAAGCGGCACATTAACATAAACAAAATCTGGTTATTGTTAGGCATCTGCAATATTTGCAACAATGCTGAATGTTTTTATTATAAAAAGACATAGGAACCAGACTTGTGTTTTAAAAGCAGAGACAAAACCATTTACCAAGTAAAATCAATTTGCCAGGATAATTGTACCCCGGCCATGTTTGATGTGATCGGGTCAGGAAAGAGAGACAACTTGTGCTTCTCCAGCTCCACCTCAGTTGGAACAGGAATGCTGCTTTATATCTACAGTGCAAGTCGTCTCCACTGCCGTGTCAGTCCAATGTGCACTAATATACTACTTTTCATCTAACTTTCTCCCTGCATTTTATTTCTCTGGCCGTCCTTTTACACCTTCTAATGGTGTCATCACCCAGTGCCAAACCTCACCCAAACTGAGAAGAAAGACGGGGGAGGTTGCTCCGGAGGTCTTGCTTTTTCTTCAGATATGTCATGAATGTCTTGCCTGGATGTCAAGGATGTATCTTTTTGCAGGGAACATCTTTTAGAAAATTCCCAATCTGAACATGAATTTGACTTCAGATCTTAATTAATCTGTTTCTGCACCTAGCCTCCTTGAGTACAGTAACTTGAGATGGCGTCCAGTCTTTCTTATTCTCTATCTGTCTCATCGAGTCAAGGACACAATAAGATGACCTTGCACATTAAATAGTTAATTGTGCATTTCATGCTGAGATGTTGATTTCCTAACAGATAGAGATCATTTGAATTGTACAGCTGCACTTTAGCACACGGCTAGATAACATGTAAGTCATGCTGAGGCCAGAGAAACCTTTGACAGACTTCAAAGGTTGTCACTCTTAAGACAGAAGGCCTCGGGGGGGGATCAGAAGAGTTGTCTCCGGACAGGATCACTGTCATCTCTTTCTCGATATAAAACCCACAGAGAGGACGCAGATCTGCTCGATTCTTCAGGTTGGACATGCAATTAAAATATTAGATTTATTGATCTTTTTAAAATGTTGACCTCAGCTTGACCTTGCAGTGACACCAATGATGTAGGGCTGTGTGCTAAACCACTCCAGTGCCTTCTGATGTCCTTTTCTAAGTGTGGAATAAATAAAGTGCATTCCTGACTAACTCATGAGCCATCACTATTTAATTTGTCATGTGTTTGTTGTTATTGTTAGGGGTGCATGTCTACTGTGGGGGGTATGGGCTGAGCACACACATTTTGTACTCTGAATCCCTTTTTTAAATGTCACTGTTGTAGGTTTCTCATGTGACCACCAGATGGAGAGCTTCTGCCTTGTATGCCCTTAAGAATCTCGCTTTGAGAGGCTGTGTTAAGTTTGTGTGAATGGTTTTTAATAGAGGGAGGTAGGGGTCTGAACTAAAGGAGGTCTTGCACCTTATCAGGAAGGAAACAGGTTGGGTGGAAGCCCCCTTAAACCGCAGCCCTACTGCCAAAAACCAGAGTGGGCCACCAGGGACAATATTTTCATTATAAACACAGGAGAGACCATGCCCCCCCCAGACTTTATTATAATATTGTCTCTCTCACACACACACACACACTCACACATACACATACACACACACACACACACACACACACACTCACACACAAACATTAATTCCGTTGAATGCCGTGTTTGATTGAGCAGCTCCAAACCGCAGCACTCATCAGTCACACCTCGCCGGTGATATCTGATGCGGTCAGCTTTGACCCGCACCGAGCCTTATCCCCGCAGGAACTCATACACGTCCTGCCTGCTAGTGCTAGGGCTCGCGCACACACGCACGCTCACAGTGTTGAGACTGTTGGTGGCTCAGTTATTGTGCTGTGCAGTTGGGGGGGTCATTATGTTGCACTTTATCAGAGCGCTTTCCTCTTTACACTGCCAGATTTGATGCGCATGGCTGTGCGCCAAGGTAAACACGGGGCGCACTTATCTGCCCTTCTGAAAGCTGCAAGTGGTGACGGAGAGAGTGAGTCTGTCCCCAGAGGAGTCCACAGTAAATAGGCACAAGCGATTACGCACGATTTAGCATCAACTTTAATTATTGCATGTATTCAGAGATAACACTTCTCGGGCTCGCCTGCAAACTGATTTATGCAGTGTCTGACACATTCGTGGTAGTCTGCCTACTAGGGATCATTCATTTCTATTCAGAAATGTGAGCATATGCCCACCCTATCCAGAGACAAAAAATGCTAACCATATTCGTGCATTTTTTAGTGGGGGCGCATGTGTTGTGCTTGAATATTTATGAGTAAAGCTCGCAAGAAAGCTGTGTTGGATAGATGTGATGTCAAAAACCGGAAAGGTGCGCTGATGTGCCCATCTGGTAGCACTTTCACGCTGCTTACTGTGCCGTATGTGCCCAAAACGGAACCCTCCGGATCTGCAGAACTAATCTGAGAGCCGAGGGACTGGAGAGCACAGGAGGTGGGACTGTGACCCGCCATTAACCCCAAGATGAGCGGAACCACGCAGAGAAGGAGATTCATCAAGTGGCCCATTTTGAGAGAAACAAGTTATAATCATTACAACTTCATATGACAGGGTCTCAAATAAGTTCATACAGAATGTTCAAATAGACCTATGTAGCCTCTGTGATATTGTTTTGAATCAGAACAATTTGGTTTGAAATGTATCTGAACTTTATGGCATTCATGTCAAATTATCTTTTTTTATTTATTTTTTTATAATTTAGTCATAGCCTACATCTAATAATTATGCTGTTGTCGATCACAACAAAGTAGCCTGACAGTGCTTTGATAGGAGGGGAAGGTGTGCCACTCTTTAGGCTTAATCAGTTGAAGACTTAGTAAAGTCCACATTTTCCCTAAATGTGTACTTTAATAATGATTTTTTTTATTCATAAAATATTTTTTTCAGCGGAACTGAAACATCACTCCAAACAAGTTTAAACACATTTGTGCAGACAATATCCAGAAATTGGCCACTAACAAATAAACATTAACTATTGGTCTGGAATGGACTATTGTTTAAAGATCATAAAAATCTCAGCAAGGCAGGCTATTGTGGCACAGTGCGCCTCGGGTGAGGCTGCTGAGCTGCTCAGTGGGAAGAGAGGGACAGGGGAGGCAGCCTGAAAAGGAAGCACGACTCGCTTATCGCGTCATTCTGGGTATAGGCGTTGAGCAGGAAACAGCCTTTCCTCTCGGATTGTCGCAGTAGAAACAAACACACATTTTTGTATTTGCTCAATGCACCCCACGGCACAGAACACGCGGAAGCCGGTCAGAAGGAAAAATGCCTCCTTCGATAGAGATAGCTGTTCTGCTCCTCGGCGTCCTGGCTTTGGAGACGCACCGGAGTGCCAGCGCGCTGCACATCCAACAGGCGTTCGCGTCTCCAAATCAGACCAATAACTTCGCGGTGGACCCGGTGTCCAGAAAGGTGTACCTGGCTACCGTCAACACAGTCTACCAGCTGAACGGGACCTTGAGCATCGAGGTGGAGCAGAGGACCGGACCGGTGGAGGACAACCTGTTGTGCCATGCGCCACAGCTGCCCCAGGCTCCGTGCGAGCATCCCAAATCCCTCACTGACAACCACAACAAGCTCCTGAAGCTGGACCGGGATCAAGGGGTCGTGCTGGTGTGTGGGTCCGTCTATCAAGGCTTTTGTGAGCTCAGAAATATCGAGAATATTTCGGAGATAGCGGTGGAGTTCCCACATCAGGGCGAGAAGACTGTTTTCCCTAGCATGCTGAACATTGCTGCCAATCACCCAAACGCATCCACGGTGGGTCTGATCTTTAAGAGCCACGGGGGGAAACACCCGGCTTCTCGTCGGGGCCACTTACACTGGGGCTGGTACCCAGTTTTTCCCAAAGAACCACAGCAAGGAGGACCTGCGCTTTGAGAACACACCGGAGATCGCCATCCGCTCCCTGAATATCAAGGATCTATCCCGGCTTTTCACCTATGACATTAACCCTTCAGAGGATAATGTATTCAAGATCAAGCAAGATGTTAAAACTAAAAACAAGCTGAACTTCGTACACGCTTTCATGCAGAAGACTTATTCCTACATTGCCTTTAATAATGACGCGAAAATGGGCCACAAGGAGAGCCTGCCCAACAGCATCCTCGCCAGGATATGTCTGGACACCGAGAACCCCCGAAAACCCAGCGGGCCGGAGAGCAGGAAGCTCACTGAATCCTACATCCAGATGCCGCTCCAGTGTGGATTTAACGGGAACATTTACAACCGGCTGCTGTCCGTTTACCCCGCGGAGATCCCCACAGAAGACGGGAAGAGTTCCGAGCCCTACCTGTTTGGAGTGTTTTCCAAGGCGGACAGAAAGTCTGCTCTGTGCGCTTTCAAGTTTGGAGACATCGATGAGGAGATCCGACAAGGCCGCAGGAACTGCTCCAACTCTCCCAGCAGCGATGTCCAGGTGCTGGACAGCGTTATCCAGGGCTCCGGGGCAGCCTGCATCCAGAAGGGAAACCTGGTGGTAAGTGCTTCATTTTATTTTGTCAAATATTACAGTCCAAATTGGGGTCATTAAGGTACATTTGATTTAAATGTTGGCATGGTAGGCTAATATTAAAATGTTATCAAGTGTCATTGGCCTAATAGTCTAAGTTATCAGACAAAATGGCAATTAATCGACTTCTCTAATTGAAAACTTACCCAAGTGTCAGTCTCTTGATGGGGCAGAATATGAGAGAAGGAATAAGGAAACAACAGAGGCATTGCTATCCTCACCAAGACATTTTTCCACTTTTTAATTTTAATTTTATTTTGCATTGATTGTTTGATTGTAACTATTTTTGATTCAGATACATGAACATTTAACAAAACATGGAGATGCTGAATATAAGATATTTAGTTTGATAATTTCCTGTTAAATACCTCTACCACTTCTGACCATAGCTCTTGTATTGCACATAAACACACTTGACCTCCATCATTCTCTGTCTGATTCTGATTTATGAAGGTCCTTACATTTGTTCCAAGCCTACAAAACAGATAAGATAAACTCACTCATAACTCCTTATTCTCTGACAGTTTCCATTTCTGGTTACAGCGGTTATCCTCTTTAGCCCTGAGGCACAAGATTTGGAGAGAGGATCCCCCATGTCACGAGTAGAGGTCATGATAGATGCCCTGACCTAGAGCAAAGCTGGGGGTTATGGGAAGGGTGAGATTCCTCTCACATCCAGCAGCTCCCTATCTTATCAAATGTGAGGAGAGGAACAGGTCAATAGGCTACTTTGTTTTTCCATTATACCTCAGACATTTCTTTTTTTATCATTGAATGTGTGCTGGTAACCATAACTGAACCACATATTAGGCACAGTTTAAGTGAATAAATAGCAGCTTTGTCGCAAACACAGGGTCAGATATTATCTTGCTTTTAACTACATTTTTTCCATACCGAACTAAATATCTGCCCTTAAAGAAAATTAAGTGGTGCATACTTGCCCTTTGTGTATTCCCTCCATATGGATTGTTTCTGATAATAAAGGCAGAGAAAGCTTTGCCAGTTTTATAGGAATGCAGTGAAATTCCAGCTTTTTATTGAGGTTGTTTTGAGTGGCAGCGCTGAGGTCAAAGGAGGCTGTCCCCCAACCACTCTGCTGTCAGGTCAGAAAGTTGCCCTCCTCGCTGGCACTGTCTTGTCGTCTGTGGCCCCGGGGCCACTCCTCCCGTGACCAGTTTTCTGAATACTATCTCAAATGGCTCAGAGGCCTTCTTCAGATAGACAACTGCTCAGTTCAAAGTGGCCAACAGTGGATTCTTCTACATTTCGCTGTAATGTAGACTTAGATCTCAGAATAAAGCTATACTCTCTTAAGTTTTACTTCTGTGTTGCCATGGCCGCTGAAATGTGATCTTTTTGTAGTCGACATACTGAAGGCCAGCACAGAGGAAAAGCCAGACACAATTTATGATAAGAGAGACAAGGCTTCGAGCAGAAGGGCCTGTGGGAAACAACTCTCCAAATATCTACACTGCTTAATTCTTCATCTTTTTTTTCTTTTTTGACTTTGCGTGCTCTGAAATATTCAGAGAATTCCCAATAGATCCTGGTGCTCATCCAAGCATGGCACTAATGTTTTATCATTGCTCGCGGAGGATTTGACAAAAGCAGAGTCTTATGAGTGTTG